TTCAGACTAACATTAAGATTTTGACATCTGTTATCATCACGTCTATATCAGATTTGCCACTGAACAGTGTGAAAATATGTAGGTAGGAGGTAGGTATGGTGTGTGTCTGTTGTGTGCATTGCATTTCTTTCTTCGACAGCCGTTCACCAGCATTCACATTAGTTTTGTATAATTTGTATGCGGTATACCTAAAGTAGAAGTTATTGTTACGAACATACAATTTTAATTGGGTTTGTGGACAATGCCATCTGTAAATGTAAGTGTTCATAAGAAACACCTACAGCCTACAGTTGAATAAATCGACTACAATCCTTCTGAAACCTAGTGTTGCTACTCGACGCTAGATGGTGCTGGTTCAATGAACTCTCTGGAATTTGGTAGCAGTTTCTAGATCGGGTAGAATGTTACTGCACATTCTAGTATGATGTTCGTTTGGGTATATAAAGACGTGAGCCGCCATGAGCGAGTCACTTTTTATTTGGAAGCAATCAACGAAACAAGCTAAACAAGCGAATTGAAAAGCGATTATAAGACTACCGCTTGCCTGTGTTAGTCAATATTGATTTATATTTATTGAATAATATAAGATCCCATCATCTCAGTGTTGAGTTGTGAAGTTTCTGAGTGTGTCTCAATTCATCATGTACTGCTTCAATCTTGGACTTAGAGCTAGTATTTTTATTTTATTTCTCTTAGCTAATAGCTGTGGTAAAGGATATACTAGCTAGAGACGTATAATAATCGTTAAGAATATCATGTGGAAAGAAAGGATCGATTATGTGGCAGGGAAATGTTAAGAAAAACTATTATTTTATTAAAAACGAGTTTTTTGAGATTCAATCTCTATGAATTTAACATTAACTCAACAGTGGTTTCGTTTTCAGTAATTAATTATGAAAACAAAACATAAATTATATTTGTGGTTTAATTAAATACAAATTAAAACAGATCCTTAATATAAATAAGGCTAAAAAAGCTTCCTGAGATAATGTTTATGAGTAATTGAACAAAACTGGTCTCCCATAAAAATTTATTTAATTACATAAATGTTTATCGAAGTGTTTTGTTTTGCAGTAAGTTTAGAATGAAAAAAAAAACTAATGGATCGAGTAGCAACAGCGATGAACAGGACAAAGTATTGACAATATCGCATGTGTCTTCATCGGTCACCGCAACCACAACAGGTTATATTCAGCCGAAGGAACTACCTAGACGCCTAGACGCATAGGCGTTGAATCTTGATTCATTGATGGATGAGGATGACTACAATGAAAATGATATCGGGCGTTACGTTGGACGGGCACACATGTTATCAGCCGAAAAGAAGAAGAAATTGATTGAAAACTGTTGGTCCCCTTCCGCGACCTATTATAACTTTGCGGAAAATGCGAAACATTTATAGAGAAAATTTAATTATTTTTGGTTGGAAACATACTCTCCATGGTTGGTATATTCCAGACGCCAAAAAGAAGCATTTTGTGAATATTGTACGTTGTTCCCACCAAATCCAAATTCATTTAGAGGCATATTGGGATCATTTACTATAAGTAAGTTCAAAGATATTCACGAGCAGGGCAAAAAACACATTGAAACCCACTTCCATAAGGAGGCATTGAAAGCTGCTAAATCTTTTCTCGAAGGTGTGCCTGTCGATTTACAACTGAACAGATATTCCTAGGGAATTATTGAAGAAAATCGCAAAATTATAAAATCTATTATTTCCTGCATTACTTTTGGCGGGTCACACGACTTAGCACTGAGAGGTGAACATTATGGTGTGGGTATACTCGAGGATATATACAGGCTGCGAATTGACGCGGGAGATTTGATTTAAAAAAACACATTAAGCAAGGGAAAAAGAATGCAAGATACCGTTCAGTGGATATTCAAAATGAAATAATTAGTATTTGTGAAAGCGTTATTAAGGCTGATATTGAAAAAAGTGAAAGAAGCAGCAGCATATAGTGTGCTAGCAGACGAAACAGCTGATATTTCTGGCACTGAACAACTATCGATTGGGATGCGATATTTTGATGAAGAAACACAGGAAGTCCAAGAAATGTTTGTCGGATTCATTAAGCTAAAAGATTTGGATGCGAAATCGGTTGCACATAGTATACATGAGTTTTTGACAAAAAAGATCTGAATATAAATAAATCCGTTGGTTTTGGTTCTGATGGTTGTTCAACGATGTCAGGAAAAGGCGGAGGGGTACAAGCGATCTTATGCAAAAACTACACCAGAGCCCTCTACTTTCATTGCTCGTCCCACAAACTGAATCTTGTTATCAATGATCTAAATTCACTTCCTGAAATTAGAAATGCCATGGGAACCACCAAAGGAAATCATTTTTGAGGAGTAAGTTGATACCTAACATTTTCAGTGTTTGGAAGACAAGATGGATGGAGTAAGAAACACAAAACCATCAGAGTTTTTAAAGAAAATATTTCAATTATTCTGGAAGCCTCACAAACATTATCTCAGGAAGGACATAGTGCAACTCGGAAAAGTGCCTTCCACCTGCATGCGGCTACTTTCAGAATTTCTTTCATTTTCGGCATTATGTTGGTAGCCAAATACTCGGCTTTGGTGGAACCCGTTCTCAACGTACTCTAATCTGTAGCTTTGGACGTGGTCAAAGCCTTGAAACACGTTGAAAGGATTTAACTTATAATTAAAAACCACCGTGAAATTCCGTAAAAAGTGACAGACGAAATTATAAAGGAAGCTACTGCTGTTGCGGAGAAAGTCGGACTGGAGGAGACATTACATCAATGCCGCGTATTACGGGGAAACAACGTCATAGAAGCAATCATCCAGCAGAAAGCCCTTCGGAATACTGGAAGAGGTCGCAATCTTGCCATACTTGGATTCAATTATCACCTCCCTTGAAGTATGTTTTGCTGAAGAAAACACGCTATCATTCGCATTATCTAAGTTACACCCGGCGCAGATGCAAAAGATGACAACTGAAAATCTGAAACAAACTTGTGAATCTATTGCCCAGTTTTATGATTTATTGAACATAAAGAATGAAATCGAACCGTTGCAGCAATTGTGGCACGATAGGCTTAATCTAACAAATCTCACAGATGTTGATGTCCTAAAAGAAACAAATTCCTTCTTTCCTGAAACGGAAAAAGCATTAAAAATTTTGATCGCTTCACCATGCACGACCTGTACAGTAGAGCGATCCTTCAGCAGCCTCAGAAGACTGAAAACATGGCTAAGAAGCACCAAGGCAGGAGATCGCCTTAATGGACTGGCAATGATAAGTTTTGAAAATTAACGCTTATCCAGATTCGTTCATAAATTCAACGATGAATGCAATAGGAAATAAAGAGTCAATTAAAATCCAAACGAACATACAAACAGCTTCATAAATTCAACAACATCCAACCCAACATTTACCGACTCAACATCCACCGACACCTTTCACAACTAACGTTATACCCTACATTCCAAGACTATCTGAAAAAATAGGACGAATCGGAAATAGGTATGATGTTAGAACTACTTTCAAAACAAAAATTACACTGAGATCTATACTCACACATTCAAAAGCCAACAACACTGAAGAAAACACAAAAAATTGTATTTATGACATACTTTGTTCTTGTGGCAAAAGTTACATTGGTGAAACCTCGAGACCATTGAAGGTGCGCGAGAATGAACATCGAGATTACACAAAAAAATAGACAATTGACAGGATCTGAATTGTCAGAACACATTTCAAAATCAGACGGTGAACATCGAGTGGATTGGAACAGGACACGGATGATTACTAATGAGCCTCACTCTAAGAGACGTAAGCTGAAAGAATCAGCGTATATTCTCATATCTGGAGAGAATTGTATTTCGAACAGCTCCTACCGTGCTTGGCTACCCATCTTGAGGAAGAATTTGGATAGTGGCGAAATGGCAACAGACTGATATTGGAGACTACCTTGTATTACATCGAATGTTTCAGTTGTCAATCAACAACATTGACATAATTTCATATTTGAAAACTCCTTTGACATCTGTCGAAGAAGTAAAGAAATAAATAATCAGAAAGGAATAACTGCCAATATCTTAGAATTTTTTTGTGCATTTCTGAAGACGGAGGCGGATGTTGGCCTCCGAAACGTTTAGATAAGTATTGTATTATTTCTTAGCAATTTTTTTGATAGACAAAATTGTTCAATACGACACGTTACTGATAAATAGAAGATTTTTCTTTGTGAAAAATACTTTGATTTTACGCAGTAACTCATCGGGGTAAACTGAAAAGTTTGCCCTTCTACAGTTGTAGAAGTTCTCCATTATCATTTTTATATTTTTCAGATTGTGGAAGGTAAGAAATAACTAAAAAAGGTCGATAAAAACCTGATTTTCCCCCATAAAAAATGACTTTCGTTGAATATTCTCTAACAGTGATTCGTTGATTCTCCATAACAATATTCTTGACTTTCTCAACATTTTCATCAGTAGGCGATGTGCTGAGGATTCCAGGGTGAGTGTCGTCATTTCCATCTTCCCGACCTTCTATGAAAAGCTTGCACCACTTGTAAACTTTTTACTGACTCAGAGTACAGTCACCGTATGCCACTGTCAACAGTTCAGTTCTATCTCAAACACAAAATTTGATGCAACCTCTTCGATCTACTACCTTGATAGTTCCTACGGGAACCTCTGGCATAAAACTAATCTTTCGAAAACACTTTGACAACACCACAACGTGTTTCGCTAAGCAAGTTAGCGTCTTCAGGAGATCATTATGACTCAGTCATAATGATTCCAATAGATTCAAAACAGTACCTTTATGCCTCTTACCAACAAACTAAACACGCTAAACAGCTGAAACTGTGAATATATGTTAGAGATGAGTGCCCCAATATGAACAAATGAAAAAATTGCTAATCGAATGTAGGTAGCTTACGAAATTTGAAAATTCACCTTATTTTTTTAACAAACCTCGTATAGAAAATGAATTCGATATATATAGTCATTCAGTGCCACTCTACTTACATGGTGTTTGGTTCTTCATCTTAAAAAGTAAGTTTTTGAATTTCTATGGTGATTTCAATCCTATCTGAGCTCGCTTCTTATTTTTGAAAGGAATTATTTGGAGCTTGTGTTTTAATATTTGTAATGAATACCGTTTGGAGAAAATTATTTTGAAATTTTTGAATTTGTAGTCATTTCAAAAGATTCAGCTTTAGACTTGTAAGTTACCCCTCTCGAATGTAAAATGAAAGACAAAGAATTTCATCAACATCGTTCATTCAAAGATTAGTACATTATACCAGCATTTTTATTTATTTATTTATTTTTTCAACGGCAAAGCCAATTTACAAAAACATATTTTACAAAGTGTGAGGAACTACAAAGTATTTTTAAATGCTCATGTCTGATGTCTACATTACAATTTTACAAAACATTCAGCAATGTGTGGAATACAAAATATCAACAAATCCTTATGTCTGGTGACTATATTACTAAAAGATGAAACAAATCTGTTACTCACAAAGAAAATGGTAAGGTAAGAAAAGCTTCGAAAACGCTATAGCGTTTTCAATTAATTTTTATAGACCTGAAGTGATACATTAAATAGATCTAAGTTATTATGATATTGATTTCTCAGCTTCAAAATACGAGGCATCGGACTGTTCAAAGCATAATTGGTATACAAAAATTAATATGATGAATGTCAGGATTTCTCGTATCTTTTTGTTTAATATGAAAAGTTATTAGTTGAAGTAGTTCTGGGCAGTTTATCGCACTATTAATTAATTTGAAGAGGAAACCAAAGTTCATAAAAATCCTTCTTGTAACGCTTGATCACGCTACGGTGTTGGGTTGTCACTGTGATAGTCCAAGAATTCGGCTCCGGCTAACTGAGTGAAGACGGGAGTGGGGTAAATATACAAGTTAAATTATAATTGTGGGCGCCAGGTAATATTACCCCATGCGAATGCTTGTCTGAACCGTGTTTTAAACAAAAAAATTATAAATACTTCACGAAAATGTCATATTATTTGTCAGTATATAAATTCATATCAATAAATAATATATATGTACATACAATTTGTATTTAGAGTTGAAATATAATTAAGTCACGATCGAATGTGGCAGAAATTAATATAGGTTCCAAGATAACCAAAATAAACCATAAATAACACCAAAATTAAATAGCCGCTAGCTTTGGATCCAGAGCGAAAGGCGCGTATCACGCATTCGCTCGACTCTGTTTTCTCAGAAGTGCTCTAATAAATATCATCACTATTTTATTTTTTATATCAGAATGATCATAAATATACTCAACGTGGCAATCTTTATTTGTCGCTAGTATGTCCTTCTAAAGCAAATTCAAATCCAAGATAGAGTGGATGTAAACATTGACATGCCCTACGCACGTGATATTGAAAGTCCCAAGAATTGGCCAGGGTCGTATTCAGAACCAACATCTTGTTGATCGCAAATGCTATATCATACTTAGGAAAACTTTTTTATAATAACGAGTGAAATGCACAAGTTTTGCAGTTTAACGGGAAACATGCAGATAATATGTGTAATATAAAAAGATTTTCATTGGATTTTTCACAGCGCACTCAAGCATTTTATGAAAAGAGACGTAATTATTTCTTTATTGATAATTTTTATTTTATGTAAAATCAAAAGGAATATTAATCAAAATTATTCAACCGAATGAATTTGTCTCTTCATTAGTAGTGTCATCCTCACCAATCTGAATTATCAGTGGCTCGATTTGTGCCTCTATTATGTTATCAAGCTTCCACATCTTTGTCTCGACTTCCGCAAAATACACCCTTGAACATAATGTTATTCCTCATGATTACTGCATAAATAACACACCTCTTCAAATAAGCACTCACCAAAGGGATCTTGGTGTCACATTTGACCCTAAACTGAGTTTCTCCTTCCACTATGACACAATAACATGCTCAGCCAAACGGATGCCAGGGCTCATTTATCGTAACTGTAAGAACTTCCGTAACAGAGACAGTTTTTCAACTCTTTTCAATGCATACTGCAATGCATGAAATATGCCTCCCTTATATGGTCACCCATATACAATGTCCACATAAACAAAATCGAGTCTATACAAAGAGGCTTCATCAAATATATTACTTACAAGCTAGAAGTTTACTCTGAACAAGACATCGACAACAGAATACTACTGAATAAATTTAATCTATTATCCCTTCAAAACCGAAGAACCTACTGCTCTATAATTTTCATTTATAAACTAGTGAATAATCTAATTGACTGTCCCGAACTACTTTTCCACTTCAACTTTCATATTCCACGAATCAATTCTAGAAATGAACTGACTTTTTATCTACCAAATTCTAGAACAGATATATTACTCAAGTCACCAGTTGTTGCAATGAGCAAACTTTACAATCAACTCTGTGAAAATCTCGACATTTATTATGAACCTATTGGTTAAGTTAAGAACCACGTTAAGAAACTTTTACACTCTAGTCAAAATACATGAGCCCAAATTGAAAGTTATTCTACCGTGTGAGCTTATTACTACTACTGTATTACTGCGGAATTATGTTTTTTTTTGTAATACACCTGAACTATGTTTTTACTTGTTAGCTCTATATCTGACTTATGGTTTTTTTTTCAATTACTTTCCTAGCTTACTGCACACAAGTGTTCCATCTAATTTTCTGCTTAACTCTCCTAAATGATTACTTTATTTTATTTTTTGTTTACTCGCTTCAGGTGTTTCTTGTTATAAATTAGTATTGTATTCATGTATATGTGTATGTATATATGTATATATGTATGTGTATTGTGTGTATATAGGCAGATATAAACTGTAACATGCTTGTTAATAATAATAGTATGTCTTGTTATTGGAATTTATTCCTGTTTAGACATTAAACAATTTTTTTTTATATTATTGATTTTCAGAATGGCTTCGAACTTTTCCAGTTATTTGTTCTTCCTCGTTGTTATCGCTATATTGACCTGTGAGTTCACATACATTATTTAGTGATATTCTGATTAGGTAGATACTACCAGATAGTTGAACTCTTGATCACTTTCAGGTCTGACGGAGGCTCAAGTACGCATAAAATCCAAGAAAACAGGATTAGTCTTTCAATACAACGGGACTAATGTCGAAGTTGCTGAGCCTAACGATTCTGAGGGCCAGAAATGGATTTTGGAATGCAGTCAAAAAGGCCATTTCATAATCAATAGTAACAAACAAGGGTGAGTCTACACGTGATGAAAATCAAAACATTTTGATATCTGTAAAAATTATCTCCCCCAGCTTGCCTATGCAGTAAAACGCTGCCAGAAGAACTTCATTCCTGGATATTACTAGCAGGAATATTCAATTTCGTTTCACAGACATTTGTGTGAGATTGAATCGCAGGGAGACAAATCTGGTGAATAAGGTGACTGAGGCATGATTACTGAGTTGGTTTCGTCCAAAAAATTATGAACAAGCAATGACGAATGAACAGGTGCGTTATCGTGATGCAAAAGCCATGAATTGTTCTTCCACCATACCGGAAGTTTTGTTCGTGTTGCTTACAGCAAGCGGGGCATAACTCCCATATAACACCCTTTCGAATCGTACGACAGTGTAGCAAGAACTCCTGATACACAACGCCACGGCAATCGAAGAAAATAGTGAGCAAAACCTTGACACGTAATCAAGTTTGGTGTTTGGTGTGCGTTTATAGTTTTGGCTCTCCGGTATCTTCCATTGGGACACTTGGACTTTGGTTTCGTTGTCATAACCATACATATACCGATGATTCATCACCAGCTATGACCCTTCAAAGTGAATCTGGATCGCCGACAATAGCAACCGATATGCCAACATCCTCAGCGACTTCTCAGATAGTGATTCGAGACGATTTTCCATAACAATTTTCCTCACTTTCCCAACATCTTCATTGGTTGTTGATGTGGTAGGCCGTCTAGGGCGAACGCCGCCATTCACATCTTCTCGAACTTCTGTGAAAAGCGTGTACGACTTGTTAACATTTTTGTTAACCATATGCCACGTTTGCCACCATATGCCACTGACAAAATTTCAAGTGTTTTTGAGTACTTGATTACATTTTTCACACAAATTTTGATGAAAATTCTTTGATCCATTTTTTTCGATAGCAGAAAATCGTCGAACAAGCAAAACACTCCCAACATTTGGTTACAGGTGATTGACAATGTTTCATGATGAATTTCATTGGTTCGGACTTCCATTGTCTGATATTATATAAAATGATTTGAAATCCCTGAGATAACTGAAAAAGAAGAATTAAAAATGAAAATAACAATTGCATTAAGCAAAAAAACCTGAAATGAAATGATAGTGGAATAAAATACAAGTGAAAATAGAACAACAGAAAAAAAAAATTAAAAATTAAAAATTAAGAGATTCCAAGCCAACTTCCTTAACGACGTTTCGATTGTTAGTATCCACAATAATCTTCGGGTAATGACTGGACTAATTCCTCCGAGAGATGACTATTAATGCGTCATTCGAGTACTTTTACTTATGTCGCTTTCCTTTTTCTGCTTCACTGATTTAGTGGAAGATGCCCGTTTGGCGGGAGTTAGCCATTTTTTGCTTGATTATGGGTTTCCATATGTTGCGTATCTCTACGCTACATTGTTGGACAACATGTACGCGGCTTTTTTGAATTTCCTCCTAAACCAATGTTTCTTTCTGTGTATGATCTCGCTGTGTGTGTTTCTCGTACTCGGCAATGCAAACATTCAATGGCCTCTTAGTTTCATCGATATAGGATTTTCCGCACTCACAGGGTATCCGGTAAATGCAATTCTTGGAATCGTAGTCCACGTTTGGTGGCCTTCTTTTCTTGAGGCTGCTATGGAGAGTGTTTCCGGATCTGAAGCAGGTTCTGATGTTGTACTTGGAACCAATTTTTCTCATCCTCTCCGATAATCCTCTGATGTAGGGAAGTGCAAGCACTGATTGTGACGGCTTCTCTTTCGTGCAAGGCTCCTGCTGTCTGTTAGCCAAAGTCTGTTCTATCATCGCTTTGGAGTAGCCAGTCCGTTGAAAATTCCTTCGTATTATAGAGCCTGAAAGCACGGTCTAAAAGAGTCTTGATGATTCCTCTTTTCAGTCGATTGACGGTGGTTGGATTCGTTGTTCAGATACTGTGTCGTGTGAGTGAGTTTTCGGTATACCGGTGTTTCCCACTTAGTGTCGGCCTTATTCACCAATACGCCTAAGAATTGCAATTCGTTGTGGACTTTCTTCTCCATTGTGAAAGTGATGGATGTGTTTCAGGAAGGCGTCTAGTTCAGTATTTCCATGATTCCATATCTTGAAGGTATTTTCAACGTATCTCAATCAGACACGAGGTTTCTAGTGGGCTTCTTCAATGACCAGAGTTTCAAACCACTCCATATGTATGTTGGCTATGACTGGTGAAAGTGGCGATCCCATTGGCAATCCCTCATCTTTTGTAAAGAATTCGTCCTTCAGTTGGTAATAACAGTTTTGTACACAGCACCTAGTAATTCCATATTTGCTTCTATCCATTCTTAATTCTTCTATTTTTGTTATCTCAGGGATTTCGAATAATTTTATATACTAACAGACAATGGAAGTCCAAACTAATGAAATTCAAAACACTCCTAATTTTTATGCCTCCCACCAACAAACTAAACACGCTTAACAGCTGAAACTGTCAATATATGTTCGAGACGAGTGTACCAACATAATAATAAAATTTTAAAAAATCGCTAATCGAATCTACGTAGCCCGCGAAATTTGAATATTCACTTAATTTTTTGAACGGTCCACGTATGTTCAAGTAACTCTTTATTGTAAATTCATTTCAAGTTAAAATTTTTCCCGGTGATTTTATAGAAATATAAGGGATTCACCATGAAAATACGAAAGTTTTCAGTAAAGCACATTATAACGGTTACGGCATTTTTTTTCTTTTTGGAATTATTGGGAAGGGTTCTACGTATTTTTAACATTTACAAATATTGAGGAAATTCGGTACACGTTGGGAAAAATTGAGTGGAATTATTTGTTATTCAATAAAAAACTATTCACTCCACACAAAAAAATAATAATTTTTTCCTATATTCTTTACGGAGACATTGGAAAGAAAATATTTCAAAATATTTTTAGAGTTCGGAGAAAAAAATACCCCATATCTATATTTATTTACATATTATTGAAGAAATCTATTCAATTTTGGGTCTTCTGTCATACTCGTGTTTACTCTACTATGGTCTTTATGATAATGTATTCGGATATTTCCTGAGAGAAATTGGTTTTTCAATAAATCTTGAAAAGTTCAATTTTTTCAGTAATAATGGTAGCAGGTTTTTGTTTCCTGGCTATTATAGTAATCGCAAAATGAGTTCGATCTTTTTTGAAGAGGCAAAGTAGCTTCGATTAGTAGGGAATTCCTGGGTCATGATGATTAGGTTTTTGAACATCCCATCCAATTGACACATCTGAAACCGTTTCATAACTTTTCAATCCAATCATTGTTCAATTTGATATTCATATTAGCTCACCTGGCGGACTCTGTACAGTCTTAGAATTAATTAACGTTGTGTTATCAGCTAGCTTATATAAACTTTTTTATATTGTGTTCATAGAGTACGAAGTTTCGTTATACTGATACGGCCAATTTTGCCAGGTCATATTCATGCTCAGCAGTAGATTTTGGGACTAGAAATTTCATAACTTCGCTATCCTGTCAGTTTTTTTTCAATAAATGTTCATTGCAGAAAGACATAAATTGGTAACATCTTATGCAATAGATGAGTGGTAATTTCAAGGGCATATAACGATAGCATTTTGATAGCATTTTATTCAAACCTCATTAGTATTCATCTTAAAAAAAAATTTTTTGAGCAAATTGTCAAAATATTCTTTGTGAACCTCCTCATAGCGAGTCTATTTTCGGTAATTCTCTCCCTACGTTATAGTATTGTACCCGGTTGCAAAACATGAATATTCGAATCAATATAGCAAAGGAAAAATTGAGAGAAGCCAAATCCGTGTAACGAGCAGACCATTCCTACGGCTATCAATCCACATGCCTCGGTATGTCTCATTCAACCAATCCCTTACCGGTCTGAAATATGTGGGGCTCAACATCTTATTGAAAAAAAAAACTGAATTTTTTTTGCCACAATTTCTTGAATCCGTAACTCCGTATAACTCACCATTACTGATTTTTCTCTAGATATATGGAACCAACAGTAGACCTGGCAACATGTTCGATATCTTCATCTGCGGTGCATTGATTCGCAATATTCCGTAGAATAATTGCATTACGGTTTTTTGTGAAAGTTTTGACCTTCTCGCTCAAGTTATTATAAATGATACTGTGATGGATATTGTTGACTTTGTTTTATAATATGCGCATGCATTTATAATATGCGCATGCGTGTGATTATGCGAATGTGCGTTCAATCACAAATGCTATAACCTCAATTGTCTTTGCACGCACCATGACAACTGTTATAACCTAACAAACCGAGCGTCGTCGATTTGTTTGGTTTTTTCTCTACTTTTCAAATATAACATATTTTAATAGTTATTCTGCTATTCCGGGCGAAGACAAACTTTGCTTTGTTTTATATATGTGAATATTGGTGCTCTTCACTTGATCATATGAAGCTAAAAAATATATTTTTATGATTTCAGTTTAGCAATGGATATAAAGAAAGGCTGCAAAATTGGTCAAAGCGTCATGGTTTATGATAAACATTCAAGGCAGAATCAGCAATTCTTCATTAATTCCGATGCAACTATTGGTACAGCTTGCGATGCAAATCTTATTCTGTTGGTGAAGGATAGAAACGTAGAAGTAGCACCAAGAGACAATTATTTTGATTTTGACATACACTTTGAAATTGAACCAATTGAATGATCGAGAAATGTTAATGAAAAATACTGTACTTGAGTACAATACTTTCACTAAATGATAAAAATTAAATATACATACAGGGCTTTTCATGATGAGCGTAAATTAGCCGTTCTGGCAAACTATTCAACGGATCAAAATTGTCATGTGTAGCGCTTCTGATCAAGTCTGGAGTCAAACTATTGAAAGCAGTTGTAACTCTCGATTTCATATCTTCCATTGTTGCTATTGGAGTATAGTAAACCACATTTTTAATGAAACCCCACATGAAATATTCTAATGGTTTGTCATCTGGTGTTCTAGGAGGCCAACGAAAAGGTTCATCATTACCAATCCATCTGTCTTCGAAGATTTCGGTTGAAGCTTCGCTGACTGAATGAGAATTATGGGGTGGAGCACCATCCATTTGGTACCATACACGTTCTCTTCCTGGTCTATTATTCAAAATCATTTGAATTCCATTCCTCAGTAGATCTTCATATTTTGATGCATTCAAATCATCATCATAAAATTCGATATAAAAAATTGACTCATTCTTTATGGCACAAAATACATTGAATTGCCATCTTTCATGAAAACCCCTTTGGCGGACAACATGGGGATTTTCTGGCGCCCAATGATGACTGTTGTGTCTATTGAAAACTCCATTTTTTGTGAACTTGGCCTCATCTGTCCATATGATATTGTCAAGGAAATGTTCATCCTCTTGAGTCTTGACAAGTAACCATTCAAAGAATTCCACTCTACGAGGTAAATCAGTCTCTTTCAAATGTTGAACACAGTAGAACTTATAGGGATGCCATTTATGCTTATTAAGAATTGGACAAATTGTCACGTAGGGTATACCTATCTCCCTTTCAGCCTCGTGCAGAGAAGCATTTGGAAATGCATGAAAGTATCCCAAAACTGTTATATCATTGTCATCATCATCCACTTTAGTCTTCTTACGAATGATTTTTGGACGGAAGGTTCCATTCAACCTATAGTTTTTTAGTATTCGATTTATCACATTATTATTGGCTTCGGAAGTTGTGGATATCTTTCATGAAATACTCGGCATGTTCTACTTGCAATTCTATTGCACTCACTATGAATTATTGATAAATTCAAGAAATCTTCATTACTGTATCCTAATCTTGACATTATTCTATTATAATTGGTAGCTATCACAATCAGTCAAAACCACCAACGAAAGTCTGACGTTAAATAATTGGTTTATTTATTTTTCCAAAGCACACTATTAAAAAATATAAATGTGTACTGTTGTACGTTAGAGACCAATACCTCAATGTATACAAATTGTGACTTTTTCTAAGGTAGGTACATACCAATTTCGAATTGACTGATCTGAGACAGTTGAAAAACTGGATCAAAAAGAAAAATTACTAAGTATTAAAAAAATGTTGAATATCCAAAATAAGTGATGAATTGAAAAAAACGAGCAAGAAAACCACGTCAGTTTCCGTTTGAAACAGTTTATCTCGAAAACGGTTCAAAATAGAAATAGTATTATCTGAACAAAGTTGATCTAAAATTGGATGTAGAGCTCAAAAATGTTGAAATATACAGGGCGTTCCATTTGAAAAAATTGAGTTCCACTCATTTTTTCATGAGATCAAAGTATCTGCATTTTTTGAAGACCCTGTATGAGGCAAATGAAAATATGACTCGGAGTGAAGATCCTCATAGTATCACTCCATTCCATTTCGAATTTGATCGTTTTAGTGCAAGAGAGTTCAAGATTATCAGCATTTATAAAAGTTCATGTTTGTTAAAAAAATTATCGAAATTAATTTATATCTTCTAAACAATAATAGATAGGTATAGGGAAATAGTATATGAATTTGTTGTCAAAGTGATATTGAATCATAATATGATATTATATACGGGGTGTTCCATTTGAAAAATCAAAGAAGCCACTACTTTATAGTAGAAGCGACAATGCCGCTTCGTTTGAAATATTTTAGGCGTGTAAGTCATATTGACTTATGCATACTGTGGAATTTTCAGGTTGATCCGTTGAATAATTTGTCAGAAACGGCTAATTAACGCTCATTAACGCTCATCATGAAAAGCCCTGTATAATAATATGTCGTGTTATTTTCCAATATTCACTCCAACTGAATGGCTTATCTCGAAGGCTGATATATGATAACCAAATATACATAATTAGTAGCTACAGAATTTCGAGTCTTAATCATCGTCAGGTGACACTTATTAATTCATGATGCAAAAAACAGAACTTCTACATAAATAAGTGTTTTACCCTGGTTGTGGGATACATGGAACATGAAAAATGTTAAGGGTTACCTTCATTCCGAACCATGGGAAAATAGGATAGGATTTGGCAGGGGCTAGAGAGCAACAGAAAAATTATATGATAGATATATTGTCATTTGAAGCTCAGTTTATTTTGTTACTGCGATTTGATTTTATATGTGCGGAATCTGGGACGGGTGGGTCGAAAAATGACACTTATGCAAGTCACTCTATTATTTTTTCTGGAAGTTTAAAAAAACAGATGGTATCACAGTGTGAAAACAAAGAAAAATTTTGAAAGAATAACATTTGTTATTGGTGTGTAGAATCCTATTAATTGTTATGAGTATAATACGAATTTAAAACAAAAACATCGATTTCTCTCCTCAACTCTATTGAGTACATAATTGAAAATACAATTTCTCGCATATGATCGTATAATAAACGCTTTTGAGTACAGTAATTCGATTCACACCAGAACAAAAATACCTTCTCTCGACGTGCATCTCGACGTCAGTATTTTTTCCAGTGTAGGAAAAGTGTTTTGAATAGATTGAGTTGATGCCAGATATTGTAATTCTACCTATAACAACAACATTTATTAAATAAAATCAGTCATTATAGAAATTGAGACTTGAATTCTTGATATGGAAGCAATTTTCTGCACACTCCAGCAGGTTCAATTGAACTTCGGAATGAAAGAATTTATTAAGAAAAATGTTGAGGTTATATTACAATATGCCATTGAAAAAATGAAGTCTTTTATAGGTTAACGCATGTTTTCAACTGAATATTTTGAAAATTCATTATGGAATCAAAAGAAATTTGATAATTTCGTAATTCTGTGGCAACATTTGTTAATCGAAAGCCAAAGAGGCTAGTATACCTATATTTCAATCGATTCGAAATAATCGAAAATAGTTTCGGCATTATGAAAACAGATCGAGAAAGAAAGAAATAATAGAAGCATATCCAATATCAGTTCTCTCTTCGTAGCAGAATTTAACTTGCCTTAACTTGCAACCACTGTCAGCAAGGTTTTCGCAGAAACACATCTAACGAGGGAACAGAAGCTTCAATTTGTCGGTAGATCCAAGGGATTTCGATAAATGGTGGATCTGAATTTTAATCCGTTTTGATTTACACTGACCACTGAATCTAGTTAATATTTCACACTTTGACAAAGTACGCCAATATAAAAACAATATTTTCATCTACCGAATTGTAGTGTTATGTCCAACAATATAGATGTAGGGGTCGCTTCACTGAACGAGCTACACAGGAAACGACAAAATGGAAATTGTTGAAAAATACTTTTCTGAATTGTCAAAATTGTGTTTTTAATTTTCCCATGTAAGTGTTCCTGATTTCGAAAGAAAAAAGTTAATGATGACACACCCCTTGTGAAGATGCCGTATCAAAGAGGCTTCCTAAGGCGACCTAGTCAAGTACCAATTATAAAATATGGTACTCGTTCTATACCTAGCTTTTTCAGATGGGAAACGTAAAGTTTGTATTAAGTTTCTACAAAATGGTTACCTAGATTCAAAAACATATTTCATTACAATTATTACTCGCAGAATAATGAAATACATTCCTGGAAAACTAATTGTTTTCAATTTCACTGTTTACTAGCACTCAACCGAAGCTCATTGATCTGGGAGTGAGATTAGCGAATTTTTCATATTGGCCTAGAAATTTGAATGATTTTATATATTACGCTGTTGATGTGTAAGACCTATCATCACATGTCACCATCATGTATCTTCGAAAACAAAAGAGCTATATTTTTCAAAAACACCTCACCATGGAAATTATTAAACTTAAAAACTCAAACATTTTGAAAAATGACCAACTAGATTTGGATAGATCATCATTATTGAACTTGTTTTCTTAAAAACCAAAAAAGAATTATTATTGATGTAGATGTGAGGTAATATGCTTCAGGTGGTCATTATTGAATAGGTATAGTCCAAGTAACCGATATAGTAATTCTTAAAGCTATCGGCGAAGTCAAAGGACAAAAAAACCAATACAAAGAAATGATGCCGCTACGAATTAGTCCATGTGGACTGAAGAATTGGCGGTGGGTATTGGATAATTTTTACTAAACGAGTTTTATGATTGGCTGAAGAGTCATAAAACAAAATTTGAAGTCATGTTACGGTGACCAATGGAATGTGAGGATGGTTAGAAGAGTCGTGTTGTCAATGTTCAGTTTGAGTGTTGAAATTCGATATTGGTGAGGTTATAATTACTTACAATTTTTGTTATTTGTTTAAAATGTGGCGTCCTTGGACAAGTACTAATAGTAATAACGAGTGTGATAACAACGCAGACTTTTTCCTGTGTAGTGATTCCAATAGCGCTAGTGAACAATGCGAAAAAGAGATACTAGTGAACAAGATTCGAATGCATTTGAATACTTATTATGTTTCAATGTATATAAGAATCTACATATCAAGTTTGGTTTCGAGGGAAAAAAACTATTACAAGCAACATCAGATGTGACCGAAATTCCTCTCTCAACTGTACGTAAAATAGTCAAAAACAAACCTTATGAACACAAGATGCGATGCGATACGGGGTTACCAAAACATTTAGATGCTCATCTAATAAAATCATTGAAAAAACAATATACCACTGTTACAAAAACAATGAGATTCCAACAATTGAAATCATAAGGAAGAAATTGAATACTTCCGGCCATAACGTGAGCTGCTGTGACAAAACTCTTCAGAATTGGATAAAGAAACTAGGATTTAGATTTTAAAAAATAAACAAACGTCAAGCAGTTATGGAAAGCAGAAGAATAGTGGAATTACGTAACAAATACTTAGAACAAATAACTGAATATAGACAAAAATAACGGCAAATTTTTTATTTGGACGAAACTTGGTATGACACTCACGACACAGTTACGAAAACTGATGGTTCTTGAGGACTGCAATGTTGACTATCATAAGAACATGGAAGCTAATATTTTTGAGGAATGGTTTGAAAACACATTGATCCCAAATTTGGATCCGAATAATGTAATAGTTCTTGACAACGCTTCCTATCATTCGCGACAGCTCATCAAGGTACCGAATAAAAATTCGGAAAGATGAAATACAAAGTTTTTTAATGAATAACACTTTGTATTTTGAAGATAACTATACCAAAAACCAACTACTTGAAGTTTTACAGACAAAAACATTTGAAAAAGTGTTTGCCCTTGAGAGTACCTATTGCTGAAAAGTATGGACACACCATATTGAGACTTCCCCCTATTTTTGTGTTTTCAACCCCATCGAGTTGATTTGGGAAAAATTGAAACAAAGCATCAGGCGTAAAAATAATTTTCCAAAATTTGATAAAAAGGTGATAGAGCTAGTTAAAGAAGAAGTATCTAATATTACCGAATAAAACTGGCAAAAAAGGATTAAAAAAGTAATTTAAGTTGAAAAAGACTATAAGGGGATTGGAAACTTCCTTATCAATGGTGGAAATAAATTCATCACTGAACTATACCTTAGGTAGAGGGTTAGGTAGTTTTTTGGTTACCTTATGGTTACCTGTAGTATATAAATAATAATGTAAGAACAACTTGAAGTATTCAATCACTAGAAAAAGCTACCGTACTGTGCTAGCGAAATATGTTTTGATATATTTTTCAAATAAAGTTTGTGGAGATCAAGTCGTGGGGTGTAGTTTTTGAAATTACTATGGATCTTCATCAAGTAACGGCCGAATCAATCAGGAAAAAAAAGAGCTAGAGTTGATTTTTTTCGTTAAAAAACTTAAAAAAAATAAACATTACCACAATGCAACATACTCTGTCTATCATGATTTACGAATTTCGCAATCATAGACTCAAATTTGAGTTAATCGTGCATATTTATTGATATTAAATATGACAAAGAACTATATTTTTCGAGTCTTTATCCATTTGAAGATGACATCAGAATCATAAACTATATTCATTATTTAGGGATGTGTCTGTTACTCAAATGGCAACTTGACTTAAATATGGTAATATAATCCATTATTCTATGTAAAATTCTACAAAGATTTTCTAATAAACCTTTGCGCGAAAATATGAATATTATCAAAGATATGCAATGGTAGGTACATGAAAAAGAACTAAGTATATGTTCGATAAGGAAACTTCATGATTTCTTAATGCACTTAAAAATATAGATTCATATTTATGTAATCTTTCAGGTGGAACTGATTGACGATAAAATTCTGTAGGCTCTTCATTTTATTCATTAGACCACAGATCTACTCATATATAAATTGCGAATTAGAATAGAATCAAATATTCGTGAATGTGAAGTCACATCCAGAAGTCAACCCCGAATATACAAAATGGCAACCAGTCCAGTAATCCTGTTTTTCATCATATGTATCAGTTCGATGTATTGTAAGTTGATATCATACTAGTGGACATTTAAAAAAACACGCTTATTGTTTTCTCTATATCTTTGAAAAAGTGTATTGAAATTTTCAGTTTCTCTTCAGGAAAATTATATTTTCAATTTTATTCTGGAAGAACATACAAGACCAAAAAAGTAAATTGAACCAAAATGATTTTTATATATCAGAAATCTCTTACTAACCTTATAGGACTACTTATTTCACTCTTCTGATATTATATCCGCATCTTCTTCACTCTCTGAGGTGTTGTTTCTGTTCATTCTCATCAACTCATTTTTAGGGCAGTCATTTGTGAAAAAGGTATGGCTGTTTTCAGAATTATCAGTCCTGGATACAGCTATAGATTAAAGTATTTGTATTCTATCTGTTTCTATCGTGAAAGATCTTGCTCTGTCTATTTATTCAATCGATTTTTCTCATATCTATTTTATGACTATCTTGCAAAATTATATTGGCAACGACAGATATAATCTTATTCAGTTTAATTCTGTCGAAATGGCGTTTCCGCTTTTGTTTCAATATGGAGAGTTCCATAAGAACGTTTTAGGTTGTGGAGCTCCGTTATTAGTAGGAATCATATTTCTGGCACTGCAACTGATCCTCCTTCTGAAGATCCCAAACTGTCATTTATGGAATATTCAAAATGTAACCAACTTTTCCATTATTTTGCTGAGTCATTTTCTATCCTCAGTGGTTTTGGTGGTTGGACAAAAAGTACTGGTGTTGTTTCATGAGAAGCAGTCGACTGGCTTACATAGTGGCTGTAAACTTGAAGAGAAGTTTTCAAATTCTACAGCTGGTGTTGCTATGGCCTTCTTGGTTTTACGTTGTAGAGCTCCGTTATTAGTAGGAATCATTTCTGACACTACAACTGATGCTCCTACTGAAGATCCCAAACTGGCGTTTATGGATTTTTGCTCTTGAGAGAAAAATATTCAAAATGTAACCAACTTTTCCATTCTTTTGCTGAGTCACTTTCTATCCTCAGTAGTTTTGGTGGTTGGACAAATGGTATTGTTGCATAAGAAGCAGTCGACTGGCTTACATAGTGGCTATGAACTTAAAGAGAAGTTTTCGAATTCTGCAGCTGGTGTTACTATGACCTTCTTGGTTTCAGGTTGTAGAGCTCTGTTATTGGTAGGAATCATATTTCCGACACTACAACTGATCCTACTACTGAAGATCCCAAACTGTCATTTATGGATTGCATATTGGATGCAACCCATAGAATGCGGGTGGTACAGCTTTTTTTATTCACTCATTTATTCAGAAGCAGACAGACAGGAGTACCCAATTGCATCAACAATCAAATGTATCATTCAGTTAGAGCAGACAGTCGTTGGTTCACAGATGGATCAAAAACACCTTCCGGTTCTGGTGCAGGTGTTTTTAGTCGCAGACCTCGGACAGAGATATCTACCTGCCTAGGAACCTATGCGACTGTATTTCAAGCGGAAATTTACGCTATTGAATTGTGTGCGGAGAGATTGGATAAATCCAACCTCATTCACAAGTCAATAAAAATATTCTCGGACAATCAAGCGACGTTGGAAGCTCTTGGCTGCTACCAAGCAAAGTCTAAATTGGTAGTAAACTGCCAAAAACGACTATACTCGATAGGAAGACTTAACAGATTGTCTCTGGTCTGGGTTCCTGGCCATACTGGCCTGGAAGGCAATGAAGCTTCGGACTCTCTTGCAAAGGCGGGTGCTGCAAGCGGCTTCATTGGACCAGAACCTGTCATTGGCATCGCTTTGGGCTTAATACTGAACACCTAGATGGCAAGAAGATTTATGGACCTCTGGCAGAATCTTCCAGGATTGGCTCACTCCAAGGCGTTTATTCACCCTTCGAAGCTTGATTCCAAACAGTTGTTGGACTACAGTAGGGATGAACTACGATGTGTAACAAGCTTTCTTACAGGTCACTGTCATTTGAATCACCATATGCAGAGACTTGGACTGTCAGAAGACAGTGTGTGTCGCCTCTGTCTAGAAAATGATGAAACAGCAAACCTATACTTTGTGCCTGCCTCGCTGGGGACCGAATCAGGTTCTTTGAGTTCGGCAGATCCGTACTCTCACCATATGACTTGAAAGACCACTCACCATACAAACTAATCGGCTACGTTAAGAAGCTGGATTCATTTGGCCGAGTGTGAATAGGTGTGAGCCACAATAAACCCTTGTGGGTTGCGGTGGAGGGTCGAATAGACCCAGTCACTTCAGACCTACCTACCTAGTGTTAACATAGTAATTATAGTTACAAAATAAGATATTTGTTCTAACACAGAACATTCGAAAATATATAAAATGACTGATCTAAAACAAGAGTAGATAGAATACAAATGCAGAATAAACAATGCGAGGAAAAAATTGATTTCATGTATGCCAAGTAGGAATTATTTTTTCTATCTGATGCACAGGTAGTTTACATTGTTTCTAATAATCTATAAGATTGGTTGAATAAACGAGAATAATATTCAAATTTCTTCCACTTTCAAGTTCCTGGACAATAATCGTTGAAACCCAGGGTTTTCACAAATATACTTGGGTTGTAGAATGGTGTTATCGAAATAACTTGCTAAATCCGGTTGAATGTAAGGTCATGTTCTACAGTTTAAAAACGAACATCTTGATCTTTGATCATTCAATAGAAAACGTTTTCCTCGTGAGACCAGAAACATCTACTGATCTTGGCGACACATTTAATAAGCATATCGATAATGTTGTAACTCCCTCCTGTCGTTTGTACGGATTAATTACACGTAACAGTAATGATTTCCAAGAAACTTCGACCTTGAAAACTCTATTCTATGCTTTCATAAGATTAAAGTTAGAATACGCATCAGCCTCTTTTATCAATATCATATAGAAAGAATAGAAGCAATTCAACGACGATTTTTTAAACTGCTAAGCCTAAAAACTGATGGCATTTATACTCCCTTAGGAACAACCCACTCTGAATTGCTACAAAAGCATAACTTTATCAGTCTCAAAAAAAAGGCGTGAATATTATAGTGTTGTACTAACATATAAAATTATCCAAGGCATAGTTGACTGGAATTGACTGAATTACTGGAAAAGTTTAATATTTGTATTCCTGAAATCTGTTCCAGACACCCGAGTACTTTCTATATAAAAACATCTCGCACAAAAAATGTTCTGGAGAATTCTTCGATCCATACCATGAGTAAAGTGACAAACTCTGTTAGCGATGATTTACATATATTCAGTTGCAAACTGTGTAGTCTTTATAGTCACCTGTTTGTGATGTATTTATTATACTCTGTTATTTCCTGCTCTATAATTGGGCTATGTCCTGTAGAGTACTGTATCACAAATTGATAAATAGATAAATTATATATATTTGAGAAATCCATTTTGAATTTATTCAAATTCTTCTGTACAACTAATGTGTATTTCAGCCTGATTCAAATAAGATCAAAAAATAAATAATTTATGATATTTATATAAGTGAACTCAGCTGTTGAAAGCTTGATAAAACTAAATTCCTACTAAATACTGAAGTTCTTGGATACATTGAAAATATCTCAAACCAGAGCCCGAAAACGAAGCATTCACCATCCAACACCGTATAGAGCTGTTTCAAACCGCTTTGCAAAGGACCGCCTTGTGGAGCCTCCAAGGAAAGTAAAATCAAGCTATACAAGCATGGTTCAGCCTAGCACTACTGATGAGACGTTGTCTTGCTGCGAAAGCTCGTGTGAAAGACAAAGATGAATATCGTTTGGCGATGCTTGTTCTTCAAGGACAGTTAAGTACAATAAAGCATTCGGCGTCTAGCCTAGCACCATTGATGAGACTTATGTCGTATCGAAACAGTGCTGGTTGTTGTTGTATGGCGAAAGTTATGTTTTTGGGTTCTGGTTTCAACTAGTTGTCTTACGGTGAAAGACAAAGATGGATCTAGTTTGGCGGTCGATGTCATAGCTTGACTTTGCAATGGACCGCTTCGGGAAGACTCGTTAATTTTTGACATTCGTGCCCTCACGAAGACCCAACAGATGGCGTCAAACCTCTAATCTCAACGAGGCAATAATTCAACTTTGCTTTCAAATATGTTATTTTGCACTTTCTTGTCTTGTTTTTGAACGGTTATGTGTAACAGCAACTATAATAGCTGAACATCGCCTATTCACCATTCTCTGTTCACTAATGTTCATTTTCAATTATGATGAATACGGACCTGTTGTTAATATTATTATTTTTGTCATCATTATCATCAATAATCAGTTGTTTTTACTCTTCAGTTCTTTCGAAATTGTAAACTCAGCATCACTATCCTCTTACTATACCAAATAATGGAAGGAGAAGGATATGCTTGATTTTTTTTGTAAGTTTGAATATATCGATGTTTTTCAGGTCTTGCCGATGATTATGTCATCATACAGTCTAAAACGTCGGGAATGGTCTTAGATGGAAACCACTACTATGTCAGAGCAAGGCTGGCAGATGGTTCAATAGGTCAAAAATGGAATTTGACGTCTACTAAAATTGGACGATTTATAATAACCAATGCTAGAAATGGGTGAGTGAAAAAAAAATCATTTTAGTTTCTCACTGAACAGTTTCACCATACAAGAGTTTTTTCCAAGTGTTCGATATTATTAAGTTCAATTGAAAGGGGTATATCTACAGGAGAGATGATTTTTAGGGAAAGAACGGTTTTGGCTTTCTACTCATCCATCTTCATACAAAAAAATATGGGAATCTTTCGGAAATAGAAATAAATCAATCAATTTCAAAAAACTAACCTTATATAAAGATGTGTAGATCTTGCAATGAAGTAACTTTCAGACACAAACTGGAAGGAAAAGCCTTCTCGAAACAGCTACTTTCATATAAACATTGAATTACACGAAAGAATTTTTTTTCGTTCATATGAACGCTGAATCATACGAAAAATATTCTTTCTAATTGGTTTGAATCAGTTTCATTCTTAGAATTCCTTCACAATATAGTAGGTTAGGTAAGGTTAGGTGGGTCTATTCGACCCTCCACCGCAACCTGCAAGGGTTTATTGTGGCTCACACCTGTTCACACTCGACGGCTCTACCGAACTCTGAAAACCTGATTCGGTCCCCAGCGGGGCAGGCACAAAGTATGTGCTCCGCTGTTTCATCATTTTCCAAACAGAGGCGAAACACACTGTCTTTCGACAGTCAGAGGCTCTACATATGATGATTCAAATGACAGTGACCTGTAAGAAGGCCTGTTAGACATCGTAGTTCATCCCTACTATAGTCCAACAATTGTTTGGTATCAAGCTTCGATGGAGTGAGTCAATCCTGGAATATTCTGCCAGAAGTCCATAAATCTTCTCACCATCCAGGTGTTCAATATTTGTTTGGCAAAGCCTGAAGCGATGCCAATGACAAGTTCTGGTCCGTCGAAGCTTCTTGCCGCACCCTCCTTTGCAAGGGAGTCAGCAGCTTTATTGCCTTCCAGGCCAATCTGTTAAGTCTTCCTATCGAGGAAAGTCGTTTTTTGGCAATTTGCTACCAATTTAGACGTTGCTCGGTAGGAACCAAGAGTTACCAACGCCGCTTGACTGTCCGAGAATATTTTTATCACCTTGTGTATGAGATTGGATTCTTCCAAACTTCGCCTTTTGTCTTCTTATATGAATGAACTGTACATGATTAATTTGATTTGAATGTATTAGAAGATAATAAAGACGGTATTATTATTATTATTATTATTAATATAGTAAATGAAAGAGGTGAAATTTCACAATGGTGGATATCCGATGTTTCGGCATGAGATACTTGCTCTATCCCTGTTCTTTCCATGACCGACACATCTTTGTATAGAGTTGATGTTTTTAAATCGATTGCTTCCTTCCTTTTTTTGCGAATGCAACTGACAGAGGCGTATTTTCATTCGAAATACTGGTGCCAGTTGAATGACAAGACAATGTATACGTATAAATACTCATTCATCCCTGTTTTTCCGTACTGGTGAGTCCTAGGAAGCTAAAATTTGGTATATACAGGGCTATTCAAATTCGTTTCTGTACATGGGGATCTCGTAAACGATAAGAGATAGAGTGTCGGTTGAATTGTGACAAAGTTGCATATTTTAGAGAAAAATCGAATATAGCTCTTTTGGTTCTGAAGATATACAGGAAAAACCAAAAAAATCCCAAATTATTCTTTTGCCTATAACTTCTTTATTCACAAACATATTGAAACTCTGTACACATTTTGCTATAGGCACTTGATGTGGGCTATCAGAATATGTCCATGAATTTTTTTTACAGGGTGTTATCTCACTTGGGCTACCCCCATCTTTGAATTTTTGAATAAGAACCTGTATTTTTTTGTAGTTTTTGTATCGTCGATGTTCACTTCATACTGAGAAATTGAATATTATTTTATATTTTTGAATGTTTCGGTATATTTGATTATAATTGTGTGAATTATTCCCTTTTGAATTACGGACCAGGAAATTGGTTGACTGAGTTGAATAAAAACACAATAGCAACTTTCACGTCTCCCTATGTACCGTAGAGTTTTCCGAGCTTTGAGCGTTTTCTACAATGAACTTCGAATAGGAAAACCTTTTATGATTATCTGAAACATATCTACATCAAAAATATATTATGTGTTTTAATAAGCAGAAAAAGAAATGATAGCAATAATGACATCCGAAACGAACACGATAATTGTAATGAAAACTGAAATGAAGTCATTTATATACACAAAAAAATTAATGGCACCATAAACGTTCGAATTGGAGTCCTTCCATTTCGAGACAAATAGTGGGCCAATATAATGGCCTGCAAGATCACCAGATCTTACTATTTTGGACTATTTTCTATGAGGGACATTGAAAAATAGGATTTACCGTGGCAGAGAGATAGAAAAATTTGCAAGACTCAAGATTGAGAATTTTGAATGATTTCGCAACAATGCAGCAAATAAGCGTGTTGAGGGCAATAAATAATTTGAAAAACCGAGTTCAAAAATGTCTCGAAATGGAAGGACTCCAATTTCAACATTTATTGCGCCATTAATTTTTTTGTGTATATAAATTACTTAATTTCAATTTTCATTACAATTATAGTGTTGGTTATGGAAGTTATTATTGCTATCATTTCTTTCTCTGCTCATTAAAACACATATAATATATTTTAATATATTTTTGTTGTAGATATGTTTCAGATAATCATAAAAGGTTTTCCTATTCGAATTTCATTGTAGAAAACATACAGAGCAATGGAAATATGAAAAAGTATGAATAGGTACCTAAAAATGAAAAAAAATCCTCTAAAAATTCTATGTTACATAGGGAGACGTGAAAGTTGCTATTGTATTTTTATTCAACTCAGTCAACCAATTTCCAGGGCCGTAATTTGAAACGGAATAATTCACCCAATTATAATCAAATTTTACTGAAACATTCCAAAATATAAAATAAAATTCAATTTCTCAGTATGAAGTGAAAGTTTACGATCCAAAAACTACAACAAAAAATACAGGTCCGTATTTAAAAAATCATAGATGGGGGCGGTCCAAGTCAGATGACATCCATTTATAAAAGATTCATGGACATATTCTGATAGCCCACATCAAGTGCCACTAGCAAAATGTGGACAGATTTTCACGTGGACGAATAAAGATGATGTAGACAAAAAAATAATTTTTTGGTTTTTCCTGTATATCTCAAGAAGAAAAATAGTTATATTCGATTTTTTTCACATCATTGAATAGGTCTCTAAAATACGCAACTTTGCCACAATTTAACCGACACTCTTATCGTTTATGAGATCTCCATGTACAGGCGCGAATTTGAATAGTCCTGTAGAAGCTTCTTAGGTCTTAGATACGCACTAAGAAAAAATTTTCTGATAATTCAAATGGGGTGCGCCCCTGTGAGGGTAAAAGTGGCGCGTTTACATATGAAAATTACCTTTTCATCACTGTTTCCCCGTACCACTATATTTTCGGAGTCTGAAATTTTGTATGTAGATTCGTTTTATGTTGTTGTGCAATAATAAAGAAATTTTAAATATTTCAACTGGGGCACCAGCCGCGGCGTGAAAAGGCGTGACCATGAAACAAAATTATCTTTTCTTCACTGTTTCTACATGCCTTCAAATTTTCGGTGGGTGAATTTGTATTTAGTATTCAATCCCATAAAAATTTAACTCTCCTGAATGAAGCCACCCCAAGTATGGAGAAAGTGGCCGAACAATGCTTCACAACGAATAAATTGGACCTAAATAAAAGTAAAACCCAACGAATCGTTTTCTCGTCCAATAGAAATATTTCCGAGAACCAGTCAGTGAAGTTGCTTGGTATAACCCTAGATAATAGATTGAATTGGCAACCTCATATTGATAGTGGTAGAGTAGCTAAGAGATTACGGGGCAAATGGCAACATCGCCTCATGGGAAATACCATGTAAATTTGGAGTAAAAAGCCAAGCTCCGTTTTGCAAATTTTTGTCCCAACATGGGAATCTCCATAAGACAGTGTTGTCAGATTTCCCCCAATCCACAAGATTTCATACACCACTCAGATGTCGCACGATCCACTATATTGAAAATAAAAATAAAATAACTCTGCGCGCTCGACCCAATACTATCTAGCATTAAAGATGAAACTCAATCATTGCCACCCTCGTGTGGGTTGAATAATTTTCCAAACTACCTGTTCCATATTAGAAAGTAGGGTCTGTGTGTGTAAACGGCCGGGAGCCGTGATGTTGTGACCGATTTAAGACAGGTGTTGAAATGAGAAGATTAAATAACGTGCATTTGATAGACAATATTGTGAAATCTCGTGAAGTATTAACCTAAAAATTATCAACTTGAGTTGTGTCAAGGTTAGGTTAAGACGAATTGTAATTTAAAACATAGGTGTTGGAGTAGTATGAACTGAAGAGAGTAAATAACATGCATTTGTATAGGTAATATTGTCGAATCTCGTGAAGTATCAATCTGAAAATTATCAACTTGAAATGTGCCAAGGTATGGTTAGGGCGAATTGGATGAATATAACAATTGACAGTAACTCTTCCTATTATAGCAAAATCTGACCTCATATTTTCGCTTTGAAACCTCATTGAACTATTGAGACAGCGTCGGAATGCAAAGTTAAAGGTTATAAAATAATTAGAGATAAGTATTGAGAAAAGTTCATTGCATGTATTCAAATGATTCAACATGAATCAAACCAATAAAGCACAAGTGATAAGAAATAAGAGTTCAGAGAGTAATTTCTTGTTGTTAGTAACTATCCAATGGAATTTGAGATCTGAATCTTGTGCAATGTTATAATCATTGTGACGAATAAAAGAACAGTCATTATTTAGGTCTATTTTATGTAGGGAAAACACTGAAAATATTGAAATTGAATTACAGAATATGTATTCGGAAGAGGAATATTTTAGGATTGAGGAAATCTTGGGGTTTGGTTAGAATTCACATTTAAATTATGAAATTCTTCAATGGGAAAATTCACCATATGCTATGACAGCTTTTCGAATTCAGAAACGTGCTGTGAGAATAATGGTTGGTGTACCATATAAATCTTCATGCAGAGAATTATTCAAACATTTCAAAATAATGTGCCTTCCTTCTATCTATACAGGGTCCTGCAACAGTGACGCGGTGTTCCATATCTCTATATAGGAAGCAGATAGGAATCTAATTTTCTATAATATTACCTTATTGCTCGAGACCAATATTTTTATTTTGTCGAGCTCGAGCAATAAGGTAATATTATAGAAAATTAGATTCCTATCTGCTTCCTATATAGAGATATGGAACACCGCGCCACTGTTGCAGGACCCTGTATATACCAAAGTCTCTTAGAAATGCATAAAAGGAAATCTGAATTGAGCCAGAACCTCAATATCCACAACTATAGTACTAGGGATGCCAAACATCTGAGACCTCCTAGGTACAAACTTGTTATGACTCAACGCAATTCTCTTAATTTACCGAGTTACTGGAAAAATCTGAGTTTTCAGTCTTTCAAAATTATTGTGAAAAATCACCTAGTGAATACCAATCACTACTCGGTCGACAAATTTTCAAACTATGCTATTAGTGATTCTCAGGTATAGCACCAACCATTTTAGAATTCAGGTTCTGTTTCTGACATGTGATTAGTTGTCGTGCACAATCACGATGTATTCATTGATTTTGTTTTATATACATGTGATAATGTCGATGATATGCACAATTATAGTGCCCAATGCTCGTGATTTGTGTTAATTATGTGTTAATCATATTATGTAAGTTATTGTTAATTATATTTTTCATGTACTTATATTGTGACTTGCTACAAATGTATGTATACATATAATGTGGTTAAATAAATGAATTGAAATGAATTGAATTGAATCAGCATTGCACCCGTGCGGAGCCGGGGCACGTCACTGGTACCCAATATATGGTTGATATTACTTTTGATTATATTAAATTTCGTATTTGTTTCAGGCATGTTCTGGATGTTCAACATGGCTGCAAACTTGGAAATACGAGTAATGTGATTGTTTATAAAAATCACTTTGGTAGAAATCAGGAATTTTATATAAATAGTGATGGAACGATAGTTTCGTCCTGTGATAATAATGAAATTATCGAAATGAAGGATGGAAAGGTTGAAGTATGTGGTAAAGAAGAACCTTGCAGTAGCGGGGACGTATTTTTCAAAATTCTAGAAACCAAATGAAAACCTTTCTTCATCTGTATTTGTTGTGCAAATTCGTTTTTGTGGAATAAATAATCAAAAACTTTTTATTTTGACTTTTTCACAATTTTTATCTCTGTCATATTCCAAAACTCTGTCTTATAAACTTACCAATTTACATTATACTAAATCTTGAATTCTTGATCTTCAACTGAAACCTGTTACTACTTATCTGCCTGAACTATTACTGATTTGCTGAATTATACGAATTTACGACCATGTAAACATATTTTTGCGATAAAGTAACGGTGTATTCAAGTAACACTCTATTGTGAGATTTTCATTGGATAGCTAACAACACAGCAACAATTTCATTAGTTCGGACTCCCATTGTCTAATATGATATAAATTTATTCGAAATACCTGAAAGAATCTGTAAAAAATTAAAAATAAATTAGCTGAAAAATATTATATTACACAAAAAATTTAGATTACAATGAAATTAAATTCAAGCAACAACCAAGAAATCAACAAATTGAACGGTTAACACGAGAGAAAATTGAAAAAATTATAAACATGAAATAAAAATTTAAAGTTAAAAGCCAATAACCTTCACGACGTCGCGATTGTTAGTATCGACAATTGTCTTCGAGTGCTTTCACCTATCTCCTCTTCCCTTTCACCGTTTCACCGGTTTTAGCGGGAGCTGACCGTTTGGCGGAAGTTGGTCGTGTTCCGCTTGATTAGAGGTTTCCATATGTCCCGTATCTTTACGCTAGCTTGGCTGAATGCGTTGTTGGACAACATATATGCGGCTTCTTTGAATTTTCTCCTGAACCGGTGAATGATTTCAGCTTGAGCCCACTTGATGTTATGTTGATGAGTCCAAACATGCTCTGCTTTCTCTCGCTGTGTGTGTTTCTTGTCCTCGGCAATGCGAACTTTCAATGACCTCTTAGTTTCACCAATATATGATTCTCCGCACTCGCAGGGTATCCGGTAATTGCAATTTTCGGAATCGCAGTCCACGTTTGGTGGCCTAGTTTTTGTGAGGCTGCTACGGATAGTGTTCCCAGATCTGAAGCAGGTTTTGATGTTATACTTGAACCCAATTCTTCCTATTCTTTCCGACAATCCTCTGATGTAGGGAACTACAAGTACTGGTTGTGGCGGCTTCTCTTCCTTGTGAGGCTATTGCTGTCTTCTAGCTAGTGATGTTCCACCATCCCTTTGTAGTAGCCATTCCGTTAAAGGTCATCTTTGATGACGTCTAACTCTTTTTCGAAACCTCCCTTCGTATTATAGAACTCGAAAGCACGGTCTACTAGAGTCTTGATGATTCCTCTCTTAGTCGATTGATGGTGGTCGAATTCCTGGTTCAGATACTGTTCCGTATGAGTGGGTTTTCGATATACAGATGTTTCCCTTTAAGTGTCGTTCCTCTTCATCAATACGTCTAAGAATGGCAAATCGTTGTGGACTTTCTTCTCCATTGTGGAAGTGATGAAAGGACTTACGTTGTTGATGTGATTGAGGAACGTGTCTAGTTCTGCATTCCCATGGTTCCATATTATGAAGGTGTCGTCAACGTATCTCAACCAGACTCGAAGTTTCTTGTGGATTTCTGAAATAGCCAGTGTCTCAAACCACTCCATATATATATATATACCTCTAATCT